TTTTTCGTACAGCCGACCATCGCGTCATAGAAACAAAGCTGGCTACCAGATACATGGTAAATGCCTAGTATCTAAACATATCACATCTATCCTGGGGAAACCACCGAAGCCGCGACGCGGTCAATGACGTGAATTGAACGATTGCCCATAGCATGTCTACGGTAGAACTCATTTCAGTTTATAACCACGTCAAATAGATCACCGATCAGATATTCCATCGATCAAATATTCTTGGAAAGCTTATTATGGTTGGCACAGAACTCGTAAAATAAACAATGGTTCGAATGTAATTCCAAATTCTATGGAGTTCTTTAACGCGCGAGCTCGCCGCTTGACGTCACCGACCGAGTGAGCACACGCTTATCTGTTTTCGGTTGAGAGCGCATTCTTCATAGCACTCTACTCCATTGTATATTTATAGGATAGGTACGATATCAGGAAGGCACCAAGGTCGATTTGTAACACATTACTGATTTTGGCAATGGCGATTAAAGGTAGCAAAGAGCAATAGCGGTCGACGTAGGATTGAATGAAGTTTAGATACGATGAAACCCGCCGGAACGGAAAACGTCGCTCATGCATACTTGATGACCCGCAGTTGAGGCTCCCCTCTTTCCGACTGAGAGAGATCGGGACCCACGAGTCATGGACCGTTGCGTTACCAATGGCTTTGCTACTAGGTGCTAGTCACCGTACCTACCAACTAAAATACATTTCAGAACTTGAAACGTTTCGACTTTAATTACCACAACCCACGAAGAGACCAAATAACTCGGGAATGAATGCAGAATGTGAACATGAGTCGACAGTATCGGCCATCTGGTATTCGTAGTGGCCGATTCTTCGACATTAGATCGTTTTGTGATTATTGGCATTCGTAACGGTCTTGATTGTTAAATTTTCACGGTACGGGTTCGTGGTTTCCAATTAGAAACACGTTGGACCATAAAAGCCTTGTAAAATCGGGATATCTCGGAAGTATTTTGATTTGAGTTACGAACAAACACGCTATTTTAACGTTTTCGGCGCCAGATGGCGAAAGCAAATAAAAAGCTGAATTTAAACAAGAGTCGTTTCGTTTTGTTTTGTGAGGCGTCCATCTCGCATGTTGATACTCGCTACAGCCAGGTCGTAATGTCAGATCAAAGGTCCCGCACAATGGGAGTGACGCGGCACGTGGCCAGGCTTCTCGCTATCAAAGGAGCTCAAAAGGCCACCAGGTTGTTAGGCTGTCGCGCCACTTTTCTTACTCAGTGAGCCTCGTTTTCCGCTTTCTTTCATCGAGGATAAATAATGACTTCAGTTTTATTCACGCTTCGTTTATTTATCTATATCATGTCCTTTAAAAGGAAATGTGAATAAGTAGGTACCTACCTATTATTTTTTATTTAACTCGGCATTTAGTATATTTTTAGGCATTAAGAAAGTATTATAAAATAATTAATACAGGTTTTATGAAGTTAATTTTAATAATAAGTAGGACAAAAATTAGGCAACAAACAGCTCTACGAAAAAAATATCGTTTTCAAGTTTGGACCCCCGAGACATGTTTAATACTTGGCAATAATTTAATAAACGACTCGACATGACGGTATCTTAATCTACTAAGTAAAAGATTACGATCTCGAGGCGCTGAAGTGAGGCAACACTCAAAAAATAATCTATAGCGACATGAGAAAACCGCTTTGAAAAATAACGTTTCAATACGTTTAAAAACAAATAAGATAGTTTTACTTGACATGATTATTATCAATAACACGTCGGTTTATATTTCAATGCAAGTTATAGTATTGTCTCATGCAAAGCACAAATACTTTACTATCAACATGCATGACTAATCATTCGATAAAATCTTTACTGGAACTTAACGATTGAGTGAGTCAAGGTAAGATAGGCCAGCCGGCTTAGGCGCATCTGATTCACCAGATTTTTCAATATAGGTATTTTGACTTTTAACATATTATTGCAAGTCGACTTTCTTAGTAATCAGTTTGCTTTTATTGAGAAGTATCTTCATCACAGGCGTTTTAACTATATTTTATTTTTTATAAAGTAAAGTATCAGTAAAGAAAAATGTTGCAAAAACGGGACATACCTATTCAAACTATTTTCACGCGTACGAAGTCGCGGGCACAGCAAGTATATTAATAGAATAGTTGTTTGTGTAATTGTACAACTTATTGAAGTTCAAGTTAGTTATTACGCAGGCAGATCTGAGAAGATTCTTTGAAGGGATCGTGTAAGTACTCAGTTGACTTAATATTCCTGACACACGCATTCGACACGATGAGTAAGCGACTTGTAATGCAACAGCAAAGGCGTGTGCGCCACAGGCAATAAACATATTACACCGATTGTAAAATATAAATAGCTTGAAAAAATCGAACTGCCTAAGGCGGGAATCGAACTCACGATCTTTCGCTCGCCGGGCGACTGCTCTTATAAGTTATTTACAATGAGATGCAACTCTTACATAACGCTAAAAAATTAAATAACTAGGTATTATTCTATTCTCTAAAATGTACTACATGACTGGCAAGTGGTAATAGACGGCGGCGAGTCGTATTTGACGTCAGCATTTTACGAACCAAGGTAAAACGTACTAAAGGACGTGCGATGCTTACCGGTTCCCATGTGTATTGAGGCCAGGCCTATGTGTAAAAATACACCTTTTGGTAAAGTTACTACATTTTTAAGAAGCTTGTTACGCAAATAAATGTAGTTGGGACCGTATCTTGCAGGTAACTGCACTTATTAAATTAATGCCGTTCGTCAATTTCCCAATGAAAATACACATAGCAAAATGGTTTTATTACAATGATATTAGACCTAAAATATTATGTAATTCCACTTTGCATGTCATGCCAGTATCCTAGATTTTACAGTTACGAGTAGTTCATGCTACATTGGAAAGCTATACAACTATACATAGGACTGTGTAGGTAGGTACTAGCGTTCGTTCCGAATGTTACATACACTACTTAACACAATGGTTTAGGAGACCGGCACGGCAGCTTCAGGTGTGTACCTACGATACGACCCTTGTTAAAGAACGAGATTGAAAACGAAATTGCTTTAACAACGGTCAATAGGCGTTTAGGCCTTCGATATTTTTGATTTATTCGCACGGACGGATTTTAGTAATGTTGTTTCGTCGTTGTTACGTTCATGCGCGTGCCAGACCAGCTGGATCTAAGTTACGTACATTATGGATGATGGTGAAAAAAAAATATGAAAAAAAAAATACGCTCATCTTCCTCATTAAAAACAGCGAGCCGACCGCGCAGCCGCCGCTGTCAGCCCTAGCGCGACCGCCGAGCGCGAGCGTAGGTAGTTAGGTACGCAAAGTGAAGTACTAGATACAGCCAGCGTCAAGTAGTTATTGATGCCCAAAGTAGCCAATAAGTTCGCAACACGTCTTTGTTACTATTGGAATAAGGTTGTGTTGTCAATTTTTTTGCCACTTTGGGTGTCGCGAACTATTTGACGCTGACTTTACAGACGACGGCACGTCATGGTAACCACTGCGGGTTCTTGTGCAGTTGTAATAGGAGCGAATTTGCAACAATAATGGGTAGCCTGATGTGCTGTTGTGGGTACATAAATGAGTTTATCTTCTGTTCATTTCTAATTTGTGGCTGGGGCGTCACAAATAGTGTGCTGGCGTGGTTGGAATCCTTGTAACGGTGCGGCTTAACCCACAGTCCCACACCTATTCGTACAAGTGTGTATTACATTATTCTTTCTATGGTAGGTACGGACGTACATAACGCACCAAGTAGGACAAATATTGTAAATAAAAATAAGTAAGAGCGTTTTTGGTGTGCAATTACATATTGAATCTAGGGCAGTGGTTCTTAACCTTTAAGTCACGAGGGACCGTTTTACCAAATTTCTGTCTTGTTAGGGACCACTTTTTTTTTTTCAAAATCCTATGAAAGCGGAGGTCGATCTCTCGCTCAATGTGCGCCGTTTGCATTGTGTTGACTCGACTCATCACGTCACGTCACTTGTTTATTTCGATGTCTTCATGGACCACTTGGATTGCCTCCAGAGACCACCAGTGGTCCGCGGACCACCGGTTAAGAACCACTGATCTAGGGTAAAGAGGTAGGGGCTCTGTGAAGTGAAGGATCTGGGGCACGCAAAAAAATTGTTTGCATTGATTAACTTTACAAAATGATGTGTTATTTTCTACTATTTAAAATGTATTATATTGTATTTATCATTACAATTCATACCTGATGTATGTTTATTACCTAAAGAAGCAGTTTAAGGGATTATGAATTAGACTGGTATTTAAGGCAGAAATTAAAAAAGATCTACTTCTTCGTAAGTAGTTAACATAATAAATAAGTTCATAATGTTAAACTAAATAATCAATAAGCAATAACTTGATAAAAGCTAAAAAGTGAAAGAAATTCCATAATAAATTCTACTACTAGTCCTACTAGTATTTTAAATACGAAAATTTGTGTAGACGTATGTTTTTTACTCTTTCACACAAAAACTACTGAACGGATTTTGATGAGTTTACAGTATTATTGTTAGACATATAGGCTACAATCTGGGTAATAGCCAATTATTAAATTAAGATGAAATGCCTGTAGCACTAAAAAAATAGGTCTGAGGGTATATTATCTTCCTACAAAATAAGGAATGTTTTCCTGTTGCCTAGACAAAGATGCAAACGAGACGAATTGATAACAATAATTCCGAAATCGCTACGTGAAGCCACAAAATAGAAGCGATTTCAACTGTTACTAGTGTTACTTTGTCTAGGCCCTAGGCTCTTGTACAATACCGCACATGCACGTTATTTATCACAAAACTGATATGATCACAAAGGAAATAAAAAAATCTGCAATATGATAAATATTCAAGGGAGACGCTTGGTGGATAGACGTATGTAGAAAATACACAATAAAAAAAATACAGAACCTGTTGTTTTTAGTATGCATTTTTAACTAACACGTATGTAATTTTATGATTGTACTTACAGTTACGAAAGCAATCGTAGATTCCGGTAGCTTTTATTTATCAAAACTCCACCATTCAACACAGCATTGTTGCACTACTAAGCAAAATACAGTAGGTAAAATTAAGAACTGATCACTGTAACAACTAATTTCGATACACAGAGAATATAATAAAAAGTCAACCTCTACACTAAACCACGGTATCAAAAGATATATTGAGGAAAAGTTTATTATCCACAAATTCAAATCAGATGTATCTCAACTCTACAATCTAATTCCATCCAAGATAAAATAGTCCACCACACACCACCACCATTATTGCGCATGCATTTACTTTATTCCTCGCATCCGGTCACTTTTGAAATGACAGCTGAAAATCAGTGTTACCAGAAAAAAGATAAAAAATACTACCAAGAACCAGGCTTAAAAGTCGGGTATATAGACATTGCATTCACAGGTAAAAAAGTATTTTGATTATTTTGCATCTGTATTTTTAAAAAAATCATGATTGTCAACAAACAAATCTGTCAACAAACTGACGTGTACTTGGAAATTGAAACAAATATTGTGGAAAAAAGCGTTCATAAATGGTATTCGACTTTTAAGAAAAACATTAAAACATGCCTGAAACAGACACACCTCTCCGTAACCGGGGAGCATCCAGAGATGAAGCTGCAGAGACGAACGGAGATGGTGATACTCCGCCCCAAGTGTCTGAACGTGAAGCATATTTCCAGGCTTTAAGATTATGGATCCAGCAGGCTCAGTTGCATCAGAATATATCTACATGCTTTCCATATTATATGATGACATTCCAAGGAGGTCAGAATAATCCGACAAACGTACCTCTGTTGAACAATAACTATCAGTTTCAAGGGCAGCAGTTCCCCTTTCAAGTGCCTAATTTGCCGCGAAATGTTCCTGCACCTCAAGCCCAAAATGAACCGGTCACTGCTGCAGAAGGTTTGTTAATCCCATCAAAGCATATTTGTTTGGTTGATGCATAAATCTACATTTCACTATGTAGGTTGACTGCTCCAAATAAAACTTGGTTAACTTGCGTAACCAAGGTTTCTGTTTTCATAAACTTAATCAATTTACACAAGTTACATGTCTATACATTTTGCCCTCTTAAAAATTATATCAATTATTAACAATTACAATAAATTGTTTTATTTCAGTTATTGCTCGTAATGGAGGATTTGAATATGTTATACCTGCTCTTTATAAGCGGTTTTTGGCTGAATTTATAGATTTCATGCTACTATTTATCTTAAAGTTGGTGGTCACCTTTGTGGCTGTGGATATGTTTGAATTAATGTAAGTACCTGAGTTAAACAACCTCTTTCTTTTTGTATGTATCTTGAGTCATTAAACACTTGAGACACAAGACACAATATAAATTTTATTGTTCTATGCTCATTGGTGAGCTGCATGGCATTTAACATAATATATTAAATTTATTAACATTGCTGTGTAACACTCATGCCTGTATCTGGCTAGCAAGTAGATAGCTCAACATAGAACAAAATAAAAATTCAGTATTATTACATTTTCAGTGACTTGGAGAAGTTTGATTTTTACAAGTTTAGTGAACATTATGATGACTATAAGTTCGCTATAGAGTTGACATCAGAGATCCTAGTTCTTGAAATCATATATAGGAGTATGGTTTGCATATTTGAGGTAAGCTTTCATTAACTGATCTATTTTAACATCACAAAATAGTTACTTATTATATGATTAAAACACCATGAAGCAACCAAAATGTTTGTGTTTGTTAGGAACAAAAAAAGGACAATAGCATTTTAGAATCATTCCAATGGTCCTACAGATAAACTTTTAAAAAGTTATTTGACATTATTCCATCTGCCAGAAAATTATTTTATAGATGACCCACGCTGAACTGTCCCACCAAACTCAATGACAGGGGGGCGCTACCATCGTTCAACTATATGGTTTCCAACATGGCAAAAATCTGAACCAGCGATCCGGTATTGACGGAGGCGCCCCACTGTCAATGTCATCGACAGGACAGTCCAGTATTTTGGAACTATACCATTAAGTTCACCCTTGTACTCTATTTGTGCAATATCGTTTTTAAATTAGGCATTAATTATTTCAGGCGATATGCTTGAGTGGAACTGGAAGGTTAGGGCGCACGGGCGGTGCCACTCCGGGCAAAGCTTTGATGGGTCTTCGCGTGGTCAGTGCCTCAGCAGTCGTACCCGTTGAAAACCGCCCCAAGGAAACCGTGCTCATATACCCAGGCCAGACTCTTACATTTGCTGTGGCACTTGCCAGATCTCTCATGAAGAACTTTTTGATCTCTCTCCTATTCCCTCTATGTGTTGTGCTCTTTGTTTTCCGTCACAATAGAACGGGGTACGATCTTCTATGCGGTGTTATAGTTGTTGAAGAAAATATGTTCCCACCTAGAAGGTTTGCTCCTTAAACTATTTTTCATTGCTATGTAGGCTGAAGTATTTTTAAGCGGACAGATATTCAACTCGGTAGAACATTAATAATGCTATGCCCAACAGAAGTTATAAAATATTAGTAATTGTATATTGACTACATTTATAACAGTTTTGTTTTTTAATGGTTTATATTTTGTCTATAAGGTTTTTTGATTGATTAACCATTTGCTAGAATTCACGTAAGTAATTAATTTTGTACATTATTTTATGATTTGCAAAAAGTGAAAAATTAAATGTTATTATACTGACATGAAATAAAAATGATATTTGTGAGATTTAGGATACAAATAAACATTAAGTGCCATCATCATTTTGTTCTGAGCTATACATTGTTTAACTATGTTGTTTATCAGAAGTGCAGAAATAAAAATCAAGAAAAATATAGGTACATAATAATATGTATATGTTGACATATTATATGCATCTTCCCGAAAGTGGCACGCGTATAGCACGTCACGATTTTTTAACACTAGATATTAAATTAAAATAGCTTTCGTAAATATCTTATAACCTATACCTACACATAATTAATTTGTATTATGGCTAATCACTTATGAGTGAATCAAAAATATTACTCTAGCTATTCTAGACACTTTGTAAAATGCATAAATTCTAAATTACAGCACAGCATGCAATCAATAAATAAACATAATTATTACTAAAGTACAAAAAATATGTATTTAAATTATACTTTTTTAACTTTTTGCTCATATCAAATCTATGTCTTCATCAAATCTTTTTTATTTTATACTAGTAGACCCAGCGAACTTCATACCGCCATTTTTTCATTATAGTAAGTTTTGTTCTTTTAGTTTTCTCGCAGTTTAAACCTTTTACTACGACACACATTTCAAAAGCAAATAGCCGTTCCGAGGCGAGACTAATAGAGTAAGAGCTAGTGAACGCCAGACCTACGTCATTTTATAAAAGCTGAAAGTTTGTCAGCGTATGCTCACAATATATTGGATATCCTATAGGATAGAATGTTGGTAAATCTTGAAGTTTGGGTCATCGTGGCTTTGGCAGCTGTCCAAAAAAAAACTGTCTGGCAAGGAGTTGGAACTGTCAAAACTGTCTGGCTGATGAGGAAACTACTTCTAATTATTGCCCAAATATTATATACAAGTTGTTAGGTAAATGGGTATATGAGCCGACATACACTAGCCCATGTCAACGTATGCATATAAATGGTATGGCGAAGTCAGAAAATTGATTTCATCATTTTAATTTTCATACAAATCTGATTTTATAAATTTTATTTTGTATGAACATTTAAAAATTAAAATGATGTTATCAAATTTCTGACTTCACCATACCATTTATATGACCATGTTAACATGGGCTAGTGTCGGCTCATGTACCCATTTACCTAACAATCTGTATAAAAATCAGCTGATTATTCAATAGACTGTAATTCTTCTTACGTTATACCAAAAAATCTGATTTTTATGCATAATATTTGGACAATGATTAGAAGTGGTTTCCACATCAGCCTGATAGTTTTGACAGTTCCAACTCCTTGCCAGACAGTTTTTTTTTGATAGCTGCCAAAGCCAAGATGACCCAAACTTCATGATTTACCAACATTCTATCCTATATTGGGAGCATACGCTGACAAACTTTCAGCTTTTATAAAATGACGTAGGTCTGGCGTTCACTAGCTCTTAGTCTATAATGAACAGCAATTCATTTTTATATAATATACCACTTTACTGTATTTTATTTTATACTTTCTTTTCTTTGCAAGGTAGGTAAATGATCATGTTTTTTTTTTAAATGTATGTGTTGAGCATGATACAGAAACTAAATAACTCTGGGAATTAGCATTACGGTTATAAGGTAGAGAGAGTGAGGTGTGATGAGGTAGAGTGCTTAGAAATAGCATCAAGAGGTATCGATATTTACCCCTTTTTCTTTAAATACATACATATCTTCATACAATAGATGAAAGAAAGTTGAGTTCTTCCGAAGTCAAGCGTAGGTATTGCATTAGTCAGGCAGTGAAAAACAAAATTGTTTTTACAGTTATAATTTATTAGATTCGTCAAAGAAGTTTTTGTTATTCAAAAGGGGTGACGAAAGAATTGTGATATTGATACTGACTATTAAATGTTTTATTATTATACCTAAACACTGTTTTATTTAAATAAGTAATTTAATTTCAATGTTTCAACGACGTGCACATTGAGGCGTGCATCGGTTGCCCGCCGCGGGTTACACGCGCGCGGTAATTTTCGAAATCGAACCGCGCCCGCGCGATCTTTACCGGACGCCCATAAACCCGGTTTCTACCAAGGCAGAGCGGAGCAGAGAAGTTTTTTTAATTACCAATCAGATTCAGAATTTGACAGCGGTGCGGGGAAGAGCGGAGCGATGTGTAGATCAATTTAACAGCCACGCACAGCACAGCTCACACATCTTTCGTCTTGGTGGAAATAGCGGCAAGCTTCACCCACATCTCCTCTCGTCTCCGCACTGCTTCGTCTTCATTCGTCTTGATGGAAACCGGGCCTTACGGTACGGTTGTCTTGAATACCACATCAGTTTTTCTTAGCTCAAACCAAAAGCTCAAACTAAGGTGACCTAATCGCAATTTTTATTTATTTTGCTACCATGTTCATAAATGTTTCGATTTTCATGGTAAGCAAAATTAATGCAACGGCTATTAAAACGACAATATATTTTTGTGCTCTGTGAATTTATTTTTATTATGGCAACATGGTTTTTCGTTCAGAAATGAAATTTGTCACAACTGTGTCAAATTTGAAAAAATCATGAAATCTATTTTATTTATTCAGTTAAATAAATAATCAACCAATAATTAAGTTAGGTAAAGAAGATTACTGTTTATTAAGTTCTTCTAATTACATTTTTACATAAAACATATTTTTGCTGAGTTGGCTTGCGAGACGCGCCGTCAGTCTGCCGTAACGTGGCGGCGCTGCGCTCGTGTGTGTGCAGCAGGAGTGGCTTCGAACTGTCATTGTTCATGTAGTTTTCTGTGATAAGATTTTTACTGTGAAATTATAGTTTAGCAAATTAATTTACAAGTTCACAATGTCTGCATCTGGCGAATTCGGCAACCCATTACGCAAGTTCAAGCTGGTTTTCCTCGGGGAACAAAGCGGTAAGTTCAAGCAAATTATTGTTCCTTCATCCATCGTACATTTTTAATACATAGTTTCGAATTTACGGTATGTAGGTATAGATTCGTCTAGACTTTATCGAATTACTGACCTACATTGGCCCGGGGAGGCAAGGTACATCAATGTTATTGCAGAATAAAAAGTGTACCTGGGATCGTAATGTCTGGCTTTCTGATCGAATTTTGCACTTGTGTTGTGATGTAGGTTACATTCTCTAGGTAGGTACTTAATGAGCGTTGAACCGTCTCTAAATGGTTCTCACGCATCATACGGCCCCATACCATACCCGTTACCAATCGAGTTTTTTGATCAGACATTTCAACTTGGAAACAGACACTGACTTGCTCATTTTTCTTTTCAGTGGGGAAGACTTCACTCATCACTAGGTTCATGTATGATAGCTTTGATAACACTTACCAGGTGAGCCAACTACAATGATTCAAAAAAATTGTAAGTATTCATTTCATTTTGTGAGGTCACTAATGTGAGGTAAATGACCTGTCAAACTATGACATCACACTATGTTAGTCATAGGGTCAACACTATGTTGCTTATAATATGTTTATGCTAATGTTTTAATTTCAATTATGAAATCAGAATTTGTTGTTATTTTCTCTCAGTTGTTATTTTAAAATTAAAAATACAATGGTAAAATGGGCACTAAATGTGCTGTTTTCTTATCTCATTATGGTTTCCAAGATTTGTTAAAGAAAATTGAAATGAGCACTAAATATTTGGATTTATGAAATAGCATTTACAAGAAGCTTAATTGCTCTAAGTATTGCCTAATATAACAGGTTAATTGTTAAATTTAGTAATCTTGAAGTATTTTAAACTACATTAAATTAGGTATATAGTTAGTTGTATATTTTAGTTTTGTAACATTATAAGATTTTGATAAAACTATGGTCAATAAGTTGGCGGAGACCTTTGTTCAGCAGTGGACGTCCTGTGGCTGAAATGATGATGAGGTTCAAGTAAAAGTTACTATATAAATATTTTCCTTTTAGCCTATTTTCCACCGCTAAAGAAGAATAAACGACTTGTATGTCTTTGTGTAGAAAAAGTAGGATTGCTTTTCCACCAAGTAAGAGTTTAGGAGTATTGATCTGATGAGCAAGCTCATTTTTACTATTTTTGCCCTCTGTGAATTACCTACTTGACTCTTTGTTGGTGAAAAGAATGTATGTACTTTTGTATTGCGAGGTAAACGGAGTCATTAATTAGCTCCTCAAACCTGCTTGTGTCTTAGGATTCACCCGCCTTAAGGTAAAACCATATCTTTCTATCAGCCTTGAAACTCACTGTCAGTCATAGAATATTACTGTGGTTATTATCTATTATCTGGTGCTAGTATTTTCTAGGTTGTCAAATCAATCTAATAATTATTATGAATAATGTACTCTTTGATGTAAATTTTGATAAGTTATTTGAAAGATTATATTAAATCTAATTGGAACAATTATCTATGAATGAAATAACTTATTGGAATATGAATTGCAAAGTGTATTTACTTGCTGATGTAACATCAGATTAGAAATTAATAAAGGAACATTTTAACTTAATTACTAAAATTCTTTGACAAACTGTAAAAAGACAGAGATATAATTAATTATATAATTATAATGTTATGACCACTGTCTGATATTAGTAGCTACATATTTTGGATCCCAAAACAATTATAGTTATCATAGGACTTTTGTTGTGCTATGGAGAGGTCATAATGATAGTGCCAATAAAATAATGTAATAATTTTGTGAACAGGCAACAATTGGTATTGACTTCTTGTCGAAGACTATGTACCTGGAAGACCGTACCGTGCGGCTGCAGCTTTGGGACACGGCCGGCCAGGAGCGGTTCCGCTCACTCATCCCATCGTACATCAGAGACTCCACCGTTGCGGTTGTTGTGTATGACATTACAAGTAAGCAATCTTTTATGCCATGCTTCTAATGGTGCTCCCACATTGTCGTTAGAAAATGTTTAGTAACATTGACGGCCGTTTGGTGTAGTGGTTCAGAATGGACTACTATGCCGAGAGGTCCCGGGTTCGATTCCCGGCCGGGCAGAAATTGAAATCATGAATTTTAATTTCTGTGACGGGTCTGGGTGTTACTATGTATAATATGTGTGTATTTAAAAAAAGAAAGTATATAAGTAGTATATCCGTTAAGCTAGCACCCATAACACAAGCATATTAATTGCTTACTTTGGGGCTAGATAGCTCTGTGTGAGATTGTCCAAAGATATTTATTTATTTATTTATTTATTAGTAAACATTTAATCACAAATGTTAAAAAATGTTTTAATGTTAGAAAATGTTTAGTATAGTTAGGTAACAAATTATAACAAAATTAAACATGTGTCTGCGGCACTATATTTTCCTCTACTTAAAGCTAGTTTGGCGTTTGGCGCATCCTATAAAAGCGCTTTTTTTTAACAAAAAATGAAAGCTATTCCAATGAGCAAATCCTCTTCCATTTTCGTGTAGACGCCCTCAGAACGCTAAACAAACTGCGAGCCAACACCAGATTTATATGTTATAAAATGTTAGTAAACATTTTCTATTAGTGTAGGAGCATAGGAGGGTTATAACATGTCAGTTCCTAACAAAATGTAACAATTGACAACATTTGTTAGTAAATGTTTTTATGTTAGAAAATGTTTACAAAAAATTTCTAACGGCAATGTGGGAGCACCATAACAATACACAAACATGAAAAATATAAAAAGTTATAACCACCATACAATACGTCATATAACTATACAGACTGTCCACTATAGCACTGTATTTGCTGATAGGCAGGAATGTAAGTAAGTGTAAGCTTAGCCGCAGACCACAGACTTTTTGTCGGCCGATAGTTGGGTCGGGCTGTTAATCAGTATGGACATGCATGGAAGTGCGCACATTACACCGATTTGTTATCGGCCGAATCTTCATACAAATTAGAATAGCCAACTATCGGCCAACTAAAAGTCGGTGGTCTGCGCCTAGGCTAAATGTGTATGAAATATTTAAAGGCTTTTGTTTGATTTTGTTATTAAAAAAAATGAAAAATTAAAAACCAGCCAGCATCGCATTACATAAAGGACCTGTTCACGATAAAGGACCTCTAAAAGATGTCGTAGAGTCGTAGACGATGAAAAAAAAACGTAATATTTTAAACGTTAATATTTTTCAAAATTTTATTCTACCACTTTGTAGGCGTGATTGATCACATGCCTCCACAAAATTACAGCTCTATAATGCGAAAGCCGAACAGTCTCCAAGCGAAACCTCGGATGGACAGAGCAGGACATGACGAAACTGTAAAAGGTGTGTGTATTGAGCAAAGTTGAAAAAAAAAATGCACCTAATCATGTTTCCTGCCAAAAATCTGTTGAAATTGAAACTGATGATTTACGGTTTATAAAATTTCGTTCCGATCAGCTTTATTTCTGTGAAATTAAAATGGTTTAACAGTAAAGTAGTCAAGTTCTTTCGGGAATGCCATTACTTTTAGTTCCTTGTATATTCGATATTGAACTCGATCGGTCTTCGAAGAATAGAGAAACTTCTCTAAAGGTTCACACGAAAACTTATCACGTGATTGAAGTTTTCTCTAGTAAAAATGGGTGGCGGCAAATGCCCCCTTATCGCGGACACCCCCTAGATCTAGAATGCCCCCAAAAGTTGCGCCCCGCCGGGAATGATTGGCCTAACTTGAACCCCGACGTGACGTTGAACGCCGTTGACCGACTAGCGGAGCAGCGTAGCCTTTTCATACTTGAATATTTAATAAAGATCGTGCCTCTGGCGACGCGGTCTCAACCTCTCCATAATTTCTGTTCATGTTTTTAGAATGAATTAAACAGAAGGAACCTTTCTGTGTTCATCTATACTTTGAAGGCTGTCTGTGCTCTAGATATTCCAAATGGGCGTTGATTATTTAAAGGTACTACAATTTAACTTTTCGCTTCTTATAAACTGAGGTCCACGTCTCTTGGCACAACAAGTCGCTTATGCCATGACTCGTGCGTGAATCCATCTCTGGTTTGCGAAGTGTATAATATACCTACCTATCATATTATGTTTAATACACAGTTGCGGGTAAATAAAAATGAATAAAGATAACATAAAGCTGAATTGATCGTGAAAAGTAATGTAGGTACAGACGCTAAGCAAAAACCATTTATTGGGCTGGGCATAGATTACGAAAATAAAAAAGAAAGACTTTGTAGAACGGTGCTGGTTACAGCATGATTGGTTGCCGCTGCAGACGTCTGAAGCGCTGAAAGTGTGCCAATGGCCTCGCGGCCACTTTGCGAAGGTTACGATATAAGTAATGCGTAATTTTATACTAAATCGCGTAATGAGACACCGGTGCCACGCAGCCACGCCACGGCGCCGCAGACCCGGCGAATCCTCTCCAGAGAAAACGGACGGGTATCGGAGAGTCGTCGGAGTATAATCGCTTGCGTTTGTTTATTACGCAAACATTCCTTCGCGATACAGAATTTTTTGTGATCACGCGAATAGAATACTAGCCAGACAATAGCTTCATTAGGTATAATAATCTGGATGGAAACGAACGCTAGCGCAACGGATGATCGCAAATCCTGCCAAGCCTGGTAGGTACAGATTCTTAAACAATCCTAATGCCTATGGGAAATGATTAATCAGAATTGATTATAGCAGAGCTTCCCAAACTATGCGTCGTTGTGACGCCCTAGGACCACAGTGTGTATTTTTTTTATATTGAGTAGGTATGGCATACCGATATCTAGGTCCCGTTTAGACGACGAACGAAAATCAGCTTTTTGACAAATCCGTATCGCGGTATCGTATTGACAGCTAGTTCAAACGAAGTTGAAACGTAAACGGAGCGCGACTGCACCTTTACGTAAAGCTGTCAGAAAGCTTATTTTTCTCAAACGCTAGTCAAACGCTTCACAAACATTTGCTGTGTTTTAGTAATTTTAGTTAAAAAATAAGGTGTCCGGACTTTAATGGAAACTGCATAAATCTGTTGTTTCGTCTTTGTTAGCGCGTGAACTATACCGTGATACCGAATTGCACATCAGCTGGAATGACATTGAAGCGCGATTGGGGATGATGTGCGAATGAATTGGAGACATTAAATTGAATGCAATCGGGGGCCTGTTCTTTGTGTAGTAGGTAGTTGCTAGAGAAACAGCTAACTAAACAAATATAAAATAGCCTTTCATTGTAATGAAAATAACCAAAATGCCCTTCAGTATCTAGGTTTCCATTGAGCAATTAAGTTATTTATTATCCTTGTTGTATTTAATAATCGTTCTTGCACATTTTCAGTATTTCTCTGATACTACCTACATAAATACATGATTAATCTAGTAGGTAAAGATGCTAAGTAAAAAGGGCCCATCTGACCTTATTATACCCACTACAATTGCTGTGCCCGCTACATCATACGCGTGAAAATAGTTTGAATAGTTTTCCCGTTTACAACTTTTTCTTTACTGTTTCGCCCCTATTGGGTGTAGGGTGATGTTATAGCCTAAGGCCTTCCTTTATAAATGGTCCAACACAAAAATAATTTTACAAGCCGGACAAGTAGTTCCTGCCTGATATTATTAAATTTCCGTGCTTTTAAGCGATTTTGTGAAAAATATTATTGGCAGGCAACTAATTGCTCATAAAATAGGCCCTCTTAATTGATATTTATTGTCCGTGGTGAATATCTTTTCGTAGAGGTTATTAAACATTTGTTTGTCACCTGTCATTCGCTTTGGAATGTAGGGAAGTCGAACCTTAACTTCGAATTCTTCCTATGTTCTTCTGGTTAATTTCGTTGATGGTCCAATGACAGTTAACTTTACCCCGGGACAGATACTTGAACTTGACCTTCATTGGTTGGGTTTTTATGGCGGTAAAGCTGTAGATCCTGGCTACACAGGAGTTGCAGCCGTGGGAACGAGAGGTGGGAATAGTCCCGTCAGTTCCTGATATTAGCGCGTTATACCACAGAATAATTAATAGTACCATGGTTATACCTACCCTACCTAAGATAAGATGCCAATGTTTAGTTTAGCGACATGTCGTCTTCAAATGGTTACTTATTTAAGGTTGCTTTCGTTACACCTTCGGCCGGAAGGATGACTGGTTGGAATCTACCAGTGGCAATAATGAGCGCGTTAATACCACGCACGAAAGTCAACTTATATCTCGTGTGCGTGCAATAAATATTAATGAAAATCACAACGAAATGTATTGCTGGATTTGGGCATTGGCTAGTTTTTGGATGAACATATTTTCATGATAATCTAGCTTTCGTCAATTTTGGCATGTTAGCACCAAGACTGTCGCTATCCCCCGGAAACCAAATATAATTTCGACATAAAAAATAGGTAGGTATTGTGTGTACGGTACTACATGCACATAACGATAGTGTAAATGCTATCAAAAGTTCAAAACTTTTGAATAAACGAACAGTAGCGAGCGACCAACCACATGTAAAGCTCACTCGCCTTCGTGAATTGCAACAGCTATACCTATTTTTTAATTGGAAATTGTGGGCACATTAAACCGCGGTTTGTTATAGTTTGACAGCGAATATCTACTGCCAAAGACAACGAATTATAATTATTTATAGTTCGTTTTATATTCGATCTTGCAGGTTTACGGGGAAGATCGATTGTAAGATCCTTTCGAATGAGTTTTCCAACCTTTACGACTTTATACACCCATATAAGGGGTACTTCTAGGTCTCAGTGTGATTGAAGTTAAAGTAGGTTGAATAGTTGGGATGACATTTTCACGTACAGACAGTCGAAAGGACACCAGTAGGCCTAAGATGCGCCCCGCGATAAGCGGTTATCACGCCGTTTTATCGATTTTCCCCATACATTTTGACGTCGATAAAAGTTATCACGGCGCGCATCTTAGGCCTACAAGACTACATTTTTGTTGCAAAACTGTTCCTATTATAACAACCTCTACCTTGTTGTTCTGTCGTCTGTACCTACAATGAGGCCCGGTTTTCACCAAGGCGAAGCTTTCATTAACCAATCAGATTTAATTATTTCCACATCTCTACTCCGCTTTGTTTCGTTGGAAATGAATCGCGCGGAGAAAAGAGAAGTGTCGCGCGTACTCATTTTTAGAATTTGAAAGCGCGAAGCGGAGCTGTGCGGAGTGGTGTTTTCCTTTCACGGACAGTAATAGACTGACAGCTGATAAGCTACGCACACTGCACAGCTCTCATATCTATCGTCTCAGCTCTTCTCCGCTCCGTTTTGGTGGAAATAGTCTGCCAGCTTCGCTGCTTGTCTTCGCTCCGCTCCGCCTTGGTGCAAATCGGTCCAGAGTAACAAAGAGTACAATATTGGCTTAACATTAATCCGTTTTTTTTACGTTCGAACTTTATCTGCCCTCCAGTTCGCCATTGGGGTCGGAGAAATAGTTTGTAGAGAAGTCGTTGCCTTAACCCTGGTACACATTTAAATCTGTTTGCTTGGCCAACAGCCTTGCAATCCCGCCGCCGGTAAATATTAGCCTCCACCCACCCATTCCATTCGACCATCGGAGCCTTAAATTGTGTAACTTCGGATACTAAATTAAATTAAAAGTTCTGACCCGAAAACTTTTATTTTAAAAACAAAAAGGAAGAGTATAATAGGTATGTGGTTGGCAGTTGCAATTGCCTTAATTCTCCTGTGGCTGCTGAGTCTGGTTTTCAGCCTCTATACCTACTTACTTTCAGAGAAATTTTTCGACAAGACAAAATCAATAATATTGTAGGCTACTTGTTGAGTTCGCCTCCCACCCTCGGTGCGCTGCCACACCACCCCTCATGAATTCTTAGGTCTGTTTCAGAATTCTCATATGCTCCAATACCTAGGTATGGAAGTACACGTTTGTGATAAATCGCTTAATTCAACTCTTACAATGTCTCACAGATTCGCTTTATTTTGATAACTAGTTAAAAGCTTTTGTATTTTAATTCAATTAATTCAATACTACATATTTTTTTCTTTATCTCAACCGATGAATAGTTTCTAGCACTTAATCGTTGTGAATTATGGCTTAAGTCTTATGCGATTATTGGAAATCCGATGATTGTCATTGTTGTTCGTTCAGACGGGACCTGTCTGCGCAATATGACTCCTACTTTGATAATTTTGGTGTTAAAAAGGATGTCATTTACCCTATTATTAATAAAATTACATTTTGGCTATAGCTATTAGACTGACACAGCACAACACACAGCTCAAAAAATCTACTGAACAGATTACGGTGACAGGCACGCAGATAGATGAGAGGCATCCGCTAAGAAAGAAGATTTCAAAATTTACCCCCGAAGGAATGAAACGGGGGTCCAAAGTTTGAGAAAATATGCGAGTGAAGTCGTGAACTTATTTCTGGTCTTATTTCATTCGTACACGAAAGAGAAAACGGTATGCTCTACAGCAGAGGTCTCCAAACTTTGAAGCCTTGGGGCCATAATATTTTTTTCAGTATGTTGCAAGGGCCATAACAATTTGAATTTTTCTGCCCACCTATACAAACATAGGCTTTTGTTAAATTTCAATTACTGTCGCGGGCCGGATTGATGGCAGTGGCGGGCCGGATATGGCCCGGGCCGTAGTTTGGAGACCCCTGCTCTACAGCTTTGTTTTGTTTAACTGATGCTGTTCGAAAAGCGTTTTAGTGAAGTTATATGGTTTATTTCAGTTGTGGCTAATTTGATGACGTATCCGAGTAGTCGTTTTCGTTTCAAATCGCTTGGCGTCCACGCGGCAACTAGGCCGTTGAATAGTAATCGCGTATTTTTCAAAACAGTAAACAGAATAAATATTCAGTATTCATATTATCGCTGAAGATAACGCGATAAACCCTCATAATTGCTCATAAAACCAGCGACATAACAAACGAGTTTGCATTCTGATAGTAAACGAAAACGAGTTAGAAATTCGATTTTCCGTTTGGCCTCGAGAACGTTTATTCACTGGATTGCCAACGATTATCAAGACTTTTAGATTTAATGCAGTAATTTCTGTTTTCCGAGATGCAATGTAGGATTTGCTATCGGAATGAATTATTAGGAATCTGTACTTAAAAAGACAAAGAAATACTTCAAAATTAATTTGTTTTCCATATTTCTGCAAATATGTGGAGTTGTGGACTACTATGCCATAGGTCGGTTCGATTCCCGCACAGTACAAACATTTGTTTGCATGAACTTTATTTTTTGTATTTGTGTTTTCTATCTATAATTATGTGATGTATTTATAAAGTATTTAAGTATGTTTATATTTAATCCGTCGTCTGGTATCCAATAAATTTAAAAACATGTAACACATCTGCCACGTTTTACGTTTGGTTCACGTCCACAAATTCCACGATGCAATGTTTTGTGTCCAGATGCAAACTCATTCCACCAGACGTCGAAGTGGATCGACGACGTGCGTACGGAGCGCGGCTCGGACGTGATCATCATGCTGGTAGGCAACAAGACCGACCTGTCGGACAAGCGGCAGGTGTCCACCGAGGACGGCGACCGCAAGGCCAAGGAGCTCAACGTCATGTTCATCGAGACCAGCGCCAAGGCCGGCTACAACGTCAAACAGGTATACATCGCGCAACGGGAGTAATTATCTCCAGGTCACCTAGATACATTCCATAGCAGCTGTAATAGATATTTTGGTACATACATTTACCAATTTTGGTGATTAATAGGCATTTTGTATTAGTTTTTGTATAACGCCTGAACAAAAACAAAGGGTAATATTTTGGTGTTAAACATAGATTTCGAATATAAAAAATATATAATTTAACTAATTAAGACATGACAAAAAAACTGAGGTATGTCTCGTTTCTGTCGGGTCTGGGTTTTTTTTGTATGGGGCGTGACCGTTCTTCTTTTTTTAGTTGGTGTTAAGTATGGATAGCAGAAGAGTATTTTTATAAGTTTATTTAGATCTTTGTAGTTCCTGTAAGTAACTCGCGGGCGTTGTGTTGCAGCTGTTCCGGCGAGTGGCGGCGGCGCTGCCCGGCATGGACTCGGCGGAGAGCAAGCCTCCCGAAGACAGTATCCTTTTCACCTGACACTAACACTTTCGCCATTCCATTGCTACGTCGTACACGCCTCGAGAATAGTCTCATCTAAACTAAAAGTCGAAAAATGCAGAAACATATTAAATAAGAAATATTCGTGGTTTATACTGATGATGAAATTGCATGCAGGATCCTTCCGTGACACTATTTTTGGGACGCCGTGTATGTAGTGTATGTATTTATCCAATAACACATCGGGGCCATTCGGTAAAAACTGCGCGCACTAATATTGACTGTGTGTACGTTTTGCGCGATTCAACGTCTAAACGTCTAAAGGTCTAAACCTCATTAGTCAGTCGTATGTTTATTATACGTATCGCTTGAGTCGTTATTAATTACTTAGAAACTTGATTCGATTCGCAAAGTCGATTAAAAAAATAATTGACATATATGTTGTTTTAAATATTTTTACCGTCGGATTTATTTGGCGAGCAGTATACATTTTCACAAATAATATAGTAGACGGTGACGTCAACGTCACGCTTGCGGTTTAGCGTTCGATCTCACTTCGGCGCGTGCGCGCGTTGACGCGAGGCCACATAACAGCCGCCGCCGGTATTATACTTTTAAAGATATGCACATTGACTAAATTAATTTGTCGTTTACCTGGCAAATTAACTGTCTATTTAACTATCAATTATCGAATATATTGGTGAATTTTTTTCGATAAAAGTGATTAAGTAACAACAATTGCTGCGATTACTAATATTATTATGTTTAGAAACATTTATACAACGCGTAGAAAATTGTCTTTCTCTTTGTTTTTCCACGATAGCATGTCAATTTGCGGAGCATAGAGTGCTCTTAAACGAATTTCGAAAATAAAATGAATAAATGGCGTCGTAGTGGTATTATTTTTATATACACATAGGCGACACGCTATCGATCGCATCGCGCACATATGGACACTTAATATACGTAATTATTTGTATGTGTTGTACACGTCATCCTGCTAGTTTTGTTCCGTTGTCAGTTCGCGGTGTGTTGCGATATTAACCACTGGTGTGACGTCATTAACGGTTTGATTTCTCGTGTGAAGTTAGCTACAGAATTTACGAAAATTAAATAGTATTTGAAACAATTTTTCATATTATAAAGATTTTATTAGTGTACTTGACGTGATACGGAATTAATACTTTTTCAGTGTGCGTGAACTAACCATAATGTATGTAGCTAATTTCCCACGATGACATTATGTGATTTAAATTTAACTGGTGATCTCCTCCGGATCCGGTTTGGTGGCGGTTTAGTTCTGCTAACACGTGTGTTGTGAGTAAAGTTACGTTACTAATGCTTGTAGTGCCGGCGAGGCCCGCTGCGTGGCCGTCGCTGGTCGCGCGAGTCGCTGCCGAGTGCTCCCATAAGGGCTATATTTCACCAGGNTCACCGGGACACCATGGCGGCGCAACCAGTCGCCGCTACCAACAAAATGTATACAGCTCTATAGAGAGTTACTCACCAGAGGTGGAATTGTGTAAAGCAATCGTAATCATTTGACAGTTCATAACGTACGATTATTCCGTCAAACGCTTTGTTTAACTGACTTTATCGTACGTTATGAACTGTCAAATGATTACGATTGCTTTACACAATTCCACCTCTGGTGTCCGTTTGGTTGCGCAAAGCTGTATACATTTTGTTGGTCGGCGACTGGTTGCGCCGCCATAGTGTCCCGGTGAAATATAGCCCTAAGGCTCGGCGCAAGTGGGCCACCGACCACAGCCACCGGTGTCCAGCGACGGCGACTTAACACACTTTTTAATATATTTTCTATAGTGGCGAGTCGCGGACACTACTGTAGCGAGTGTCCGCCACCGGATACACGTGTGAGGCGCGTCTATACAAAATATATTAATTAAAAGTGTGCTAAATCGCCGTCGCTGGCCACCGGTGGCTGTGGTCGGTGGCCCATTTGTGCCGAGCCTAAGGGCGGATTGCCCGCGTCGCGCGACTTACCGCGACGGCCTCACAAACGAAGGCCCCGGTCATTTGCTTACAGCGGAATACAGCTTTAAGTGTCGTTACTTAATTCAATTGAATGTTTTGTTGCATCTAACATGGTGTGTAACATATTAAAGTGATATAACATCATAATAAACCTACTTTACGTACGCGAACATAGTCAAACAAAAAAAAATCTTTTAACACAACGTTCCGTTACTCTCCTATGTCGTTTTTATCATAAAGTACATATTTGTACTACAAAGAAACATGGTGTCTTAAATCTAAGAAGCATAAGCAAGCATAGTCTTAGTAACAAAATATTACAAGTTTACACATTTAATACATGCATGGAAACAGGCGTACAATAAAATCAATAAAATACTTCCATATTCCTTCCTTTCTTCTTGTTGAAACCACAGCTCTGCCACATGAATATCATTCAACCGAGGAACGAAAAGTTACGAAAATTATGTCAACCGTAATAGGGACCGTAATGGTTGGCGAATTGAACCACGAATTTCAAAATAAACTTGCATTAATTACATTTACAAGCGTTTTTCTGACAATGGCAAAACGTAAAATGTTATTTTAATCCATTGCTCATCCTAGGTATAACTTTTTATTAATAAGGGGGTATGACTACTACTGCCGACCATCAAATTGACAATCCCTAGAAACAGTGTCAGGAATGGACAAGTTTCTAATATGTTTCTTTTAATAAAACTTGAGAATATAAGTAAAACTAATAATAATGGTGAAAGAATCATGAATATATCTCTACAAATACAAAAGTTACAGGGCCCTAAAGATGCGCATAATAAAATTCGCGCCATTTTGATTCGAAGTAGTCACGACAGTCATTCGTAGTACAAACAGTAAATCACCCCTGCCCCCCTAGACAAAACGCACTTTTTGATCGTATCGAAAATCGAATCCGTCAAATTCCATACAAAAAAGGGGCTTTTCGACCACTTTTCGACTGGTTTGCGATTATAATGGCACTTTGTCTAGACCCACTGGTCCAAATGCAAATCCTGCTGTTGACAAATCCATTTTTTCTAAATCTAGTTAGTTTTTAATTTTTCAGCCAGGGTCACTCAAGATTCTTAGTAAAATTGTGTAACCTTTTTTGACATATCCAAGACCTGACCATGTTTAAAAAGAAAAAGAAGACTTTGACATTGTGATTGAAACTTGAACAGGTGGCCTGACATCACGGCACCGCCTATTTTTAAGTTCCACGCGAAAATATGGAGGTAATTTAAATAATTAATTTCTCAGCCATTTCTTGATGGATTTCAAAAATAACTTAACCTTATTATTTTTGGTCTATATTGTAATCCCATTCAATGAAATCTAATGTTTTCAACATCATGAAACTTGTCCATTTAAAAACCAAACCTGCCAAACCTCTATAAAAATCCCTTTACAAGTATTTAGCTATTTTTATATGCATAGGAGAGTTTCTGGAGCGCTGAAAAAAAGTATCTTACATTACATGAATCACGATATAACACCTAGGCGCTGTTTCGCTAATGCTGTGTAGACGTTGACGGCTTGTGTTTTGTTTTAGTTATGTCTACTGTTAGTATTGAACATGAAATTAACTGCTCATTATACTATAATAAATAAACTATAAATTAACGTTGCCGCATTATCGTGAAATTATAAATTTATTTGTTTGTTTTGTCTTCTATAATTACAACAAAACGCATAGCTTTGATTAAATTTATAGCAATATCATTTTTATGTTGCATTTTTATATCGCTTAAATATCGCACTCAACATACACGATAGCTAAACAGCATAAATTCCCAGCCGCTTTTTATAATGAAGTATTTTATTGTAAATACGAATATATAACTACTTACGCTTTCTAATGTAATAAATGAGTCCGCTCTGTAAATCATTCACACGGTTCCCGGTTCGGTCACAGAGTACATTAATTCCGAGTGACGTTTTGTGTTTAAAATAAAAAAAAATATTTAAAAATTGGGTATTTGACACTATTCGCCAATGATTCTAAAGAACATAATTATTTTTAGTAACGCTTAATTCTCGTTTTAAAAACTCTATTAATTTTAAATCAACTGTAAATTAAGATTTAGTAATCGATAAAAATTTGCAATATAGTTACATCATCGGTTTTTATTGCCGTACAAAATCTACGGGAGTCGTTTTGACACTTGACAGTAGGCTAGATGACAAAATTTCAATTATTTGTCCGTCCAGACAGATAATTAGAAAATGTTAGACTCATATATTTTATTTTCTTTCATAATTAAATAATAACAGTGCTACATCGAGTTGAAATGGCGCGATACGTCACGCTTGAGTAGAATTTTTACTCAAAAGTGACGTCACGCGACATTTCAACTCAATATAATACTGTAATTATTGGATTATGGAAAAAAATAAAAAATATGAGTCTAATATTTTCTAATTATCTGTCTGACGGACTAAATAGAATTTCGATTTAATTACCCAGTCATCATCCCTGTTCATAAAAAGTATAAGCGTCAAATACCCAATTGGAAGTCAAAGATTTACCGATCGGGCTCGCGTGCTTCGTCAGAGCGGGCGTCGTCAGTGGAGTGCCTTTCGTTTCCTTAATGCAGCGCGTGCTCAGTGCATGAGGTGATCCTGCGACAGGCGCCCGGAGACAGCAAGGAGCCCGACGGCGGCTGCGCCTGCTAGCCGGCCCCCGCCACCGCCACCGCCACCGCCGCCACCGAAACAACGCAGCGACACATCCAAAAACTTAGATCAAAACATACAGGGGAGATACGGCATAAGCTTCTCGTTATGCGACGCTCAAATGACGTTCTAGGATATTTTGTTTTAATTTTAAAAGGTAAACGAACAATTAAAAAACAAAATCAAAGTTCACGGGCATCACTTTTCATTATTTATAAATACAATAAAACTTGCAATATCCACTCACTGACACTGACATTCGCCATGTTGTCAGGGGCTTGTTAGCACATGCCGGATCTTCCCTTTGGTTATAATGTTTCTCCCCAACCGACATTGTAAATCGGAATACGTAGGGCTTTTAATTACGTTGCCGCGTTATATGGAAAAGCTCAATTTGATAACAAGCTTTAATTAAAAGTCGTGAAAGTCGAAATAGCCCTAGTGGCTAGTGTTGGTACGTATAGAGTAGACAAACTACATATTCCGATAATAACCTCTGGCTGCTTAAAGCTGGATATATTGATTTTTAAACTCTTAGGCTGAGTTGCACCACCTAACTATCTAATAACGATAACCGGTGCAATTTGTATTGAGTTTGACAGATTTTTGAGTTTGTCAAAGTTAAACTATGTTGGTGCAACCCAGCCTTAAAGTATGTTAGCAACGAAGAAAAGGCTGTCGTACGTTTTGTGGCGTGGCCTGTACATTATTATGTTCTAATATACAAAATAAGTTATTACGCCCGTTGAAGTGGTGGTGGTTCAGTAAAACTCGTTAGGATACAACGACGTTGCGACAGATCGCAAACCACAAAAGTCACCGCTAGGCTTTATCGTATCTTTGATGCTGACAACTTTGATATATTCAGAAAAGGGACAATGAAATCTTCTGGTTGTTTTAACCTAAAAAGACGTATTCAGAAACCGAGACATAATTTGGTACTTATTTGACCACTATTATTGGTAGCCGGTCGTCGCGGCGCGGTTTGGACGTGTAATAATCTGCTTTTGTGTGTCTTTACAGTGATATTAGATTTAGTGTTAATCTGTGTAGTTCTCTAGTTAACACATTTCCGTCGACTTTGAATTAAACTACCTACTACTTTTGTGTGGTCCGACAATTTTTTATCCATATTATCTTATTCGTGCATACTATTTTTGATTGTGTTCGAATTTTCTCTTTGGAGCAAATATACTCGTACATCTATTAATCAATTTTTGATTAATTTATGTCAGCCTACTTAAATGTAAAAAAGAACCGCTCGGATCGGATCACAAATACATACCTATAGTCGTACGTGTTAAACAAGTTCGCTTTATGTACACAAAAGCACGATTACATTCGCTTTAGAGGATCGAGATATTTTGGAATCGTGTTAAGTGATATATATTCTATCGAAATGTATATTAAATAAGTCAATTAAGACTGAAACTTCATGTGGCGCCCTCTGTCGATCAAAATCAATATACAGTTTTGTCATTGACTTATGGCTCTCGTGTTTTTTCGTAATGTCTTAGGAGTTTAATCCTCACAAAACACCGAAGAACTGTATGAATGTGTAAATCTACACTATTCGAGCCAGTCCAAGATCGACCGTCGATATGTTAGAGTGGCATAACATGAGGTAGAGTTGATTGCACTTGGCAAGTGACTAAACTTGACCTTTTTTATTATAATAAACTGTACGTTCTGATGCATTACTATCAGCAACTTATGCACTTCGCTCACTGTGCGGTCAGTGGCATACCGCAGCCGCATTCCCCTTTACCATATTTTTTCTATTCCCTTGCCAATCATTAAGGCCATAATACTCGTGTAATGAGTTGTTCGTGCTATTTTATCGAAAGTACAGTCACGGAATGAAAAGGTTCGTCAGTTTTCAAATTGATTCCTTCAACGAACCGCGAGCACATATTACCTTTTGAAACTATGTTACAGAATAATCTCGAGTTAGAGAAAATAATCTTTAACTGTTCGTTAGTAAAGTTCAAAATTATTCAGATCAAAGTTGTTTGACGATTTATCTTGTCAAGAAGAGTATTATGATTGATAAACTAAAACCTTCTTGTTGGTTCAACCTGCCATTATTATTTCCATTAAATAAAAAAAACTATTGTCAATTGGTCAATGTCATCATTGCATTGCACTGATGGGATAGAAAAATAAACAAGCAAAACCTTATTCGTTAGCAAACGTCATATGTATTTAAATGTTAGCAGCACTGTTTCTTGCACTGTTATGTTGGCAGGTTTGACTCTTACAGTACCTAGTGCAAGCGAAAACAGACACTAAGGTGACGAACCTTTTCATTCTGCGACTGTACATAGGTGCATGCGTGTCCATCATCGCAATATTTTGACATTTACGGAACTATGTTCCGACACTTCTTAGACGGGGCTCGTGCTTGGGTTTCGTGTGATATACTAGTAACTAGTAACACTATTGCTAGGTGCGGTTTTAGGTCTGCTGTTGTATAGCATTTTCTAAATGTTTGATTTACATATTCTATCGAAACAAATCTATCATATTCGCAGAAGCTTAAAAATGTTATCATATTAATAAAGGAATTAACTTATGTAAATTTAATTTAGAGAATGCTGTACATAACCAGAAGTATAGTTAAGTGAACGTGCTGTGACTCTGCAAAGGTGTAATTCTTTTAAAGAGGCTCTGATGTGGATGTAAATATGTTTGTAAAACCTGATTGTTTAGATATTTAACAAAAATAAATAACAAGGGACATTAAAAACCCGGGGAAGGGAATTTTTAGTGTCCTCATATCACCTGGGTCGAACCCATTTCACTCGACTTATGCCATCTTCCAAGTAAATTGATTCGACTAAAGCGTTCGCCTTTGTTCACCTAGGAATTGATGCACTTAGGTGAACAAATGCTACTTTCTTATTAAACATGGGGACTTTTATCACCCTTAAAAAGCATGTAAGAAATTTTCAAATTAACAGACAGCTTAATATTTAAATTAGTTTAATGTTAATCACTCAATAAAATTTGTATACTTATTTGTTACAGGAAATAAAAAATAGTTTAACAATTTTATACCTCGTAGTGATGATCTAACTGGTGACACTTTGAAACATGTTTAATGTCATATTTTTAATTGTATGGCACATTATATGGCTCACAAATAAAGTCATAATAGTTTTTTAGCAAGTATTATGTTATCTGTTAATTAGAAAGCTTTTATTAGTATGCTTCATGTGGGTGATGAATGTCCACAAGGTTAATAAAAAAAATCGAATCAGTTCATTTGGGTGATATCACCTGGGTAATATAGTTCCGTGGTGATAAATATCGTTATGAGGCCACTAAAAACTAAACATCCACTTTTTTACCCAGTTGAACAAAGTGGAATAATTAATAATATACATAACATTTCAAATAAACTTTGATGGTAATTCGATTGTGAAACTTGTCAAAATTTAAACATGACCACAATATTGACACTATTAATTTTACTATAATAATTATTGCGCAGTGGCAGAGCTTGGCAGCGCTGTGTAGCGAAGCATTGTCCACATTAGTTGATTGAAATCAAATGATTTTCGGACACGTATCTTGAGATTTCCTGATGTTGTTATGTTCATGCAATCGCAACGTTGCCGAAACAAATTTGCCCTAATGTGGACGAGGTTTAACCCTATGTTGTATTGTATATAGCGCTTGACCGCGGGACGTTTCACGTACCTAATAAATTTAATGTAAAAATCCATCAAGTTATTGAAATTCAAGAGGCCATTACTTTCTCTTTATTTTTTATTCAAAATTTTGGGTCCTTGAAACGTCACCCGAAATGAAAATTACAACTGTGTAATATGATGTAATTAATTATATAATTTTAATTAAGTGTCTCTGAAACCTGCCGCGGTCCTTGTACGATAGTAACTATTATTTATTTACTTAGTGCTTAAGAGTGAAATCTTATCTGTCGTAAATACCTACTGATTAGTGAGTTTATCACTGCTAGCTTACATTACGATATAACAGGACGTTCATGCAGACAGTTTATTGAGAGTTTGCCGATTTAGATAATGAAGAAAAAATGGTATAGTTGAATGTTATCTAAATTGTAAACATTTGGAGTAGGCGCACACCGTTGATTTTTCGTCGGCCGATAGTTTAGTCGGGCAGTTGATCAGTATGGGCATGTATGGGAGTGCGCACACTACGCCGATTCGATTTGGCCGATTCTTCATACAATTTAAAATCGGGCACAACTATCGGCCAACTAAAAATCAACGGTGTGCGCCTACTCTTGAATAAACGAGATCTGACCACGGTTTTTAAACTATCATTCCTTATTATGCTTTGTTAACAATATTTTACGAGAGCGATTTACACATTATGAAATGAATTAGCGTATATTATTATCCTCAGTTATAGTTGATATTTGTGAAATAATTATTATTGTAATGCTTATTTAAATAAATTATTTTTATAAGTAAATGTTAAGGTTTATATAACTTTTTATTCCATGGTATATTGCAATAAAATGTATGCAGCTTTGTTATTTAGTAAATACGACTATCATAAACAGGAGAGGTTTTAAATAAACACACACCAGTTTTTTTTCGAATCATCAGTTGTATGTTCCATAATTATGGTAGAAAATAATTAATGAATAAACAAAAAAGCCAATATCCTTTATTTCTTTAAGTGAAATATCGATTTTTAATTGATAAATTACTATAGTACGTATTGTATCATAGTATATGGAACATAGAATTGGTAAAAATAAAAACTGAATTATCTATTATTTTAAAATTGTGACTTTCTTATGATTTGTAAATATCACGCTGATATCATTCGGAATAAAACCATTAAAACACTAATTAATATTGTGTTATTTTAAGTTTCGCTGTTTTAATTTGGACACGACAAACCATGACTAAAACAATCTAAGGCGTTGAACCATCTACTTTAACCGTAACTACAACGATGACCGGTGTTTTTTGTATGGAGTTTGATAGATTTTTGACGTTTGTTAAAGTTAAAGTAAGGGGGTGCAACCCAGCCTAAGTAAGTAGTAATATTAAAGAGCTTGGCCTCCAGGTTATATCAAATTCAAATTCATTTATTTCACAGAAATACATGCCATTAGATGTTAGTACATAATCAATTTCGTTACAGTGTTTTTTTCCAAGCTTGACAGGATTCCGGGCAGGTTTTAATGAGTCAAGTGTCAGAAAGACTGATTGTATTGGCCAAACATTATTTTAATAAATTCTGCTTAAGATTTCGCAACAAACAACCCTGTAGAGTTTGGCTGTCTACTGGAGCGGAGCAGATAGGAAAGAAGCGGAGCTTTGCCATCTTTAACCTATGGAATTGTTTGAAACACCGCTCACGGAGCGGCCGTCTGTGCGCTTTCCTATTGGCTGCCGCTTCACTGGACAGGCAGCCTGGCGATGTAAATGCTGTCATGTCACACCTAAGCATCAGGGACGTAGCTACCATGTCAATGTTACGGGGCCTCCAAGCTACTGTTGCTTCCAGTAGGCAACTTAGGGGCTTCGCGTGAAGGTTAATTCTTTCTGAATAAAAATGTTTCCGTTGATCCCTTTCTAATGACCTTTTTAGATGAAAGTGCCCCCAACAAATTTTGGTACAGCGCCCATTTAAGGCACGCTATGCTACTGCTAAAATATACTTATTTACAAAAAAGATCATGGAGTCTGAATCAGATAGGCAAGAGGGCCAAATCAACGAAGGGGTTTGCCCAATCCATTTCATGTTTGGGAGTACATCCATCAATAAAATCATACAGGTTTCCTTTGTCCTACCTACCAGCTAGTATCTATAGTCTATAGTTGATTATTAGCATTCAAAATACGTTTTTGTGGAACAACTATCATTTAAGACAAGGTAGGTTGCCG